AGATAATCCAGGTTCTTTCCATTATTAATTATAGACGCACCCTGACCTTCCTTCCCCATGACCTTTATTAGAAAGCTTCAGGCTGGTTCTAACAAAAGGTGACATATACCCTGCGGGGGGACAAAACCTACCTGTCATTTTGTCTGTTGTTTCGCTTTATCCCGTGTTTTCAAACATTCACCCTCTCCCTGCATACACATACCACCACCCCCTGTAATTGGCTTGCAGAAGTGATTTCCTCAGTCTGCCTTATTTTTGTCTTTAAAACTTTAGATTTGCTCAGAAAAGGAATGCTTTTCAGGTTAAATTGTATATAAGGAGCCATTCTTAATGTTGAAAATGGTGAAGAACCTATCTGCTGCCTTTGGAGTGACAGTGTTCAGTGGGTGGCAAGTTGCTGTTTACTCTGGATGGAGTGTGCAGAGTTGAAGACCAGAAAATCTGGGTTTGGAAGATAGCCCTTTCTTGATTCCAGTCCAGCTTTGCTAGGTTTTCCTAGCACACTGTCAACACTAGCCTGACTGCCCTTGTCCGCTAGAGTTGCTAAATATACTCCATAAAAATACCAGACCCTCGGAGACAAGGGTAGGGATACAGGGGGATAAAGCCCTCTGCCCTTCTCAGGGAGAGACAGTCTTCTGCCATTTTTTAAAACCTAATGTTAATAGCTATAGCTCATGTGCAAATACATATGTAAGCTTATGAGGTTATTCACATTACAAAAAGAACTCTCACATGTAAAAAGGATCACAGAATCCCTTTAACTAGTGTTTGTTTGCCAACAATAAAGACTTAAAAGAGGAGAAAAAGTAAAAGTATTAATCAGAAATTAAGAGAAAGCAAGTCCGAAGTTTACTAACAAAGAATCTCACCAACATGGAATATCAAAAGCAACCAATATTACACCAAAAAAGCAATAAACACATTCACACACCATAGCACAACTTATATTTCATGATTTTGTATGGTTGCATTTTTCTTTTTGGACACATTCAGTTCTGGTTACAGTTAGGATTCACTTGTATCACTGAACACAGCTCAGCTAGACGGGAATCAGTGTCTTGTTATTTTTCTGTAACAACAGTGACAAGGAAAGCTGACACTGGCATTTTTCCTTTTCGTGTCTTGGAAAATCCTCATTCTTGTGAAAGTTAACTGTGTTTATACGTAAATAACATTAGGCTGCTTGAGAGGAATTGTTCTTTGTATATAAAATATTATACTATTTGAGTTGTAAGTAAAAATTGCAATATGTTTCTGGAATAAGAGATTGAAAACATCAGAGGAAATGCAACAAGGACAAAAGAGTCCACTGGAGGTGGTTGGTGTTTCTGATCTTCCTTTTATGTTCTCAGTGATGGGCAATTACTGTGTTTCCAAACTGATGGTAAAAGAATCACAGCTTAAATCTCACATCGATTCAGGTGTAGATTTGTTCAATATTAGCAATGGAACAGCATTATATGGTTTAAAATGCCCAAATCTATTGTGCTTACAATGTGGTAACAGTGGAGAAAATGATTACTGCTTCCTGTTTCTTCCATGCACTCAGAACTAGCTGCCTTTACAATGATCCAGAACTGTCTTCTATGGAGAAGGAGTAAGAATTCACCATCATAACAGCTGTGTGGTTACCTGCAGTCTTGTATGGCTGGGCTCTGAGAGAAAGAGGTGTATTGAGGATTGGGTAAACCTCGTTCAGATGTTCAGCTTTTATGTTCTCTGTTCCTGAAATGAGAAACTTAAAATGAACTCTGCCAGCTTAACACCATCCCACTGATCACCCTTAAATTCCTTACAGACAACTATGTTTTTTACTTGGCATTCTATTTTTCTAATCCAAATATTAGGAGAAAATTAGTTTACAGCCAGACACCAGAGCATGTGGGCAAGAGGGATGCAAGTCTGCTTTCTGAATTAACATCATCTCTTTTAATTAGTGAAAGTTGGAACTTCCATTTGAACTTAATGGATGGATAGGAGAGAAAATTGTTTTTGTTTTGAAAATTCCAAGAAGCAGTTGAGTCTGGATGGGGCTGGAGAAAAGACCTAGTCCATCTAGTCCCATCCTGTGAGAGACAGAAATCAATCACACACATACCAAGTTCTTACCACACATCAGGCTCTGTAAAAGGCGTCACACACACTAACTGATTTTTATTCTCAGGATTAGCCTTTGGGGTACATTTCGTATGGAAGGAAAGAGCAGCATAGATTGTCTGACCAGCTCAGCATTTCACAGTTGTAAAAATGGCCCAGAGCTGGGATATGAGTGTGGAGTGCAGCTCCAGTGACAGCAGTTCTGAAGTCAGAGGGAGGGGGTCTGAATGCAGGAATGGCTGTGTGACCTCTGATCTAAGGAAAGCCTAGAAAAGACAAAATTAGGCACCCAAGTAAAGAGTGTATTATTGGCCAAGTCAGTGCCGGGGAATAAATTGTGGTCACCAGCGTGCTTGTAGAGAGGACCTGGCCATCCGGTTAGGGCTCCTGATCTGGTTTGAGTTGTGCAGATTTTCACATTGCCCTTCTTTCCAGGAATCCAGAAGGAGGGGCAAATATCAGATTTAAATGTGTCCGCTATTGTCACATTTTGTTCTCTGTAGCCCTCCTTTCCTTCGAGGTCACAAGAGAAGTTGGAAAATCACAGTGCAATATCTCTGCAGTTGCCATGGTGACCTTACAGTTTAAAGAAGTTTATACACAAAAACTCCAGAGAAAAGGTCCCAATTGAAAGTGCACAAAGAACAAAGGCTGTCAGAGGACCTTTGAAATCAGTTTTTTTCCTGAAGCTGTCCCACCTCTTTCAGATGAAGCCAGTTGCTTCAAGGAAATTACCACACAGAAATTCTGCAAAGCACAAGTATCTCAGTCCCTTAGTCCACCATCATTCTTTTTGCAAATCTTTCCTTTCTCAGCAAAACAGCGCCCCCTAGAGCAGAGTCCTGCACCCACAGTTAATGAGCTGCCACATCTGCGGGCTTACCCACTCCTTTGTCTACCTTGTCTGTTTTGCTCCTCATTTGTATGTAGACCCCTTTGGGTTGGGGAGAGAACCTAGCACTGCTTCTTGTTTGGGTTTGTTCCAGGGCTGGAGGGGGGGTGGGCCAGGGGGAGTGTGGGATGGATGCTGCAAATTGTTGATGTTACTTCCCAGTTCTTAGAACATATTCTCCGTACTTCCCTTTTCTTCAGCCCTTTCCTGCCCAAGCCTTACTGGGCACATGATCCCAGTGCAGATGATGAGATCCGGGATGAGGAGCAAGAATGGCTAAGAATTTTTTCTACTGATTTCCAGCCCTGGATAATCAGTAGAAAAAATGGCTTTCTTCAGTATTAGGAGAAGGGGCTTTGTTTTCCTTCTGGTTCCTGTGTGGAAGCATTTTACACCTTCTTGTATTGAATGGTTAAACAGCAGAATGGGCAAAGGCTCTTCCGAGAAGGTCCATCAGGCTACGAATAAAATGAAATGTGTCCTGATTCTGCAGTGGCCTCTCATTTTCCTAGAGAGCAAAGGGAAGGTTATGCCCATCTTCCCCCTCTTCCTACCTAAAACACAGAGTTTTTATTCATTATTATACAACATTATCATGTTGTAAGGACCTCATTTAACATGTTAGAAGCCAAAGTGGCCTATAGTAAAGTTGTCATAAGGTTGCTAGTCTCACTGGAAACTTGGTTATACCAAGCCCACTTGCCAAAGGTGAGGAATACTCTTTTCATATTTCAGTTCTGATTAAAAGGACATTTTTTTTCTAAAAAGCATACCATTTCTCAAAGTAGCCCTAGGTGCTTTCCTCCCTCACTTTTAGGATTGATTTAACTTATTCAGATGTGTCCTAAAACTTGCAACATGCCTTTTTATGTTTTTCCATACAAAAAAGGCATATGTGATTCAGGGCATGTGGTTCTATCTGGGGAGACTTAAATTAGTAGCATTGTTGGTAGCTTCATTAGCTCCACAAGAAAACTGTTGTCTCACACCTTCAGTGTGGTTTCCTGTATTTACTTAAAAATCATTCACTTTTGACTGTCTCTTGCTTCTTTTGTAAATTGGGGAAATTGGTCTCAATGTTTCAGTTTTTTATTTACTCAAAGCTGAAGTGATAAATTAAACCCTAGAAGGTTTACAAAAAAGTCAGTATGAAAAATTAGGTGTTTGAAAGGGGGCATTGTGGAGTGTTGTTTGGGGTTTTGGGGTTTTTTAGATTTTCATCAGGAGTCTAGATGGTGAAACAAAGTGCACTTTGAACTTTCTAGGATGATGTCAAATGTTCTGACCCACAATCATACTTTACAAACAGTGTGTCCCACATTTTGGTTTAATACATATTTTCTTGGTCTGTGAGAGAAACTGAACCATCACTACGTAAGAAAGAATAAAATTCCAGTCATCAAATCCAACTCACTGCAGGCTTCTGGGAATAACTGCAGCTGGGAAGTATTATTTAGAAGAAACACAAGATCTAGATTAAAAAAAACATGGAGGCCCTGCTTTTTAAAACACTATTATACAAAGATGTAGGGGTCATGGATAAAAAGAGGCACATACACAGTAAAACTCTCTAGATAAGAAAACAAGTCAGATCCTTGAGGGCATAAAAAAGAGATTAATATCCATGATGACCTGACCTTTGCTAGCAGTTAACATACCTGGGTCTGAAAACCTCCAAAGGAGACAAAATTATTATAGAGCAATTAAGCCAACAGATGATTTTCCCATTTCAAAGACACCAAGCGTCCACTACTATTTCTCTACTACTAGTACTACTACTACTGATAGACATTTACTATGTTCGCTATATACAACTGAAAACACTTTACACTTAATGCTTAGCCAGCTAGGAGAGAGATATGATTGTTCTATTTTACAGATACAGAAATGGAAACCTAGAGCAAGTAGGTAAATTGGCCAAGACCCCAGAGCTAGTAAGTGGTGGGTTTGCTGAGGATATTTCCAAGGAAAGACATTTTACTACTGTAAACCAGATGAGCAGGCAGCGTGGGGTACCAATGGCTTTATTTGCAAAGTTACTACAAGGAGCACGGCTCAGCAACTGGGTGTTCCATAAGGAGAGTGACCTCCGCACTCTGCCTCTGGAAAGCAAATCCAAGGGAAATCTGCAGACACTTCCCAATTACCCTTTTCAACGAATGCATTTTTTCTTTTTTCATGGCTAAACTGCCTCCTCGGAGTGTTCACTTGAATGCAGCTCTCTTCTCTGGTAGATATCAGGAAGCCGTGACATGTTCCCTGAAAAGCAAAAGAGAGACACAACAGGCCCAAGGACATTTTAGACTGATTCCCTAGATATTGGGAACTCGCTAGACACTCTTAAAAACAAGATCTTTTTAGGTTATAAGAATTCATCTCATTAAAGTAGGCTAAATCCTTCAGGCAAATCCTTTGGCAACAGAAAATTTGGGGGGTTTTTTTGTTTGTTTATTTGTTTTGCCACTGTTGTTTCATTGTTTATACTTTCTTACTATTTAGCACTGATCCGACATTACTTTAAGCAGATCATTTTTTCACCCCACAAGGAAAGGTCACTTACTAAAAATTGGTAAATCCTTTATTTCCAAAAAGCAATAACATTCTTTATAGTAACCTACTTAAGGAACAAAGCTTAATAACACAGTCTTTTCCCTCCTTAGATCATTTCAAAAGGCGTAAAATGCTTCCAGAAACAGTTTTGTAAAAATAAACAGATTCTGTATTTTAGAGGAAGCCTTGCCAAGTAGTGGAGGATTGTGTTTCACCAAAATTTTCTAGTATAAGAAACTTGCATGATTTATTTTCAGTGAGTCCTTTGAGAGAAAGAAAAAAGTAAACATATACTACCCCCAGTCCTTACTGAATGTTTCTTACTCATTTTTTCATTTTTCTTTCTTTTTTTCAAGTATTGACCTGAAACTGAAAGAAAAGCCCTAACTGTCCGTGGCTGGGAGAAGAGGATGATTTCCTGCTTCGTGGTTCTGTTGAAACGCATCTACCTGAAAGAGACAGGGCTGGTGGTACTTTTTTCCACTTTGCACTACCTGGTGCCGTTCTAAATTTCTAAGGGGAAAAGCAGTAAGGGACTTTGTTTACTCTGAACATGTTTTATGAAGTTGTGTGTATTTTCCTATTTTGCCAATTATGTGCCTCAAAGATTTTAGTTGAACCTTAGCAAGAAAGTAGGACCTTCCATTTCCATATTTTGTTAACCCTAGGTGCAGTGGTATTTCATCTCTTAGACTGATATTGGTCAATAAGATAACTTCAATTCGCTATTAATTATTAGCTAGGTTTCTCCTTGGTGATCATTGTAGGTTTAACATACACAGGGCTCAGCTCTCCCTGGAAACCTTGTCCTCATGTCTGCCCACTTTTAAAATCCTAAACTTGCTTAACTCGTCCATAAACCAGACACAAGTTAAACCGTCATCAGCTAAGTGCCCACTTGGTTCCTGGGCATGGGAATGAATGGTCTCTAACTTCTCAAAGGAAAGCCAGGCTTTCTAGTTCACAGCAATTTTATTTTAGTCATCAAATTGGGCATCATGTTGTCTGTGAACTGCCATATTTTGCTGTGTATAATGCACACCATGTTTTTGGCCCAAACTTTCAGGAAAAAAAGTCTTTTGTTTTAATTTTTTAATTCAATTATTTATTTATTTATATTTAGATACTTGCATTTTATATTATAAAGGAATTTTAGCATTTATTTTGAACATGTTATGGTACTAGAAATTTTATGTAACAAACAATTACAAAAAAAAAGAAAAGATAAAACGTATTTCAGGTACTACCCATGTATAATGCACATCCTTATTTTTCTCTCAAAAATCTGGGCATAAAAGTGCACATTATACATAGCAAAATACAGTAGTTTTTTTTTTTAAATCATTTCTTCAACAAATGTTAAAGAACTCTATTTTGAGAAACTTTAGGATCTCCGTTTTTTTTTGGTAGCTGTCTGTGCTTCAGATCATAAACTTCATTCAAGATGTTTTACTTTAAGTGCCAAGGACTCAAGGGTAAGGTGAGCCACTTAGAAATTAATTATTCGGTAACATTCACTTACCTGAATTTCTCTCTCACATGCCTTCTAAAAAGTAATCCACTTTAAACCACTCAAATCTGATCACAGGTTTAAAATTAAGTATGAGTATGTACTATCATTTGCAAAATATCCCTTTGTGATTTTCATATGCCCTTTAAAACACCAATGTGATTTTGAATCTGTGGGCCTCTGGCAGAGGGGTCGGCAAACTACAGCCAAATGTAGCCCCCACCTCTTTTCATCTGGCCTTCTAGTGAAGATTGGTTTTCTCCCTTTGGGTTGAAAAAATTGCTTTTAATATTTCATGACATATGAAAATCATTCAACTTTCAGTATTCATCAATAAAGTTTTACTAAAACACAGCCACAAAAATTTATTTACCAACTTTCTGTGGCCACTTTCCTACTCTACCAACAGAGTTGAGTAGTTGCCATGGACCATGTGGCCTACACAGCTGAAAACATTACAACCTTCATAGTAAAGGGTGCTGAGCCCTGCTCCAGCACGTACATCCTTTGCCTCACTCCCCCGTGTCTGTGTAGATAGTCATTCTAACAGCACGCACATGTAAGTCTGCAAACTAATTTAGTCTTCAAAAATAAAGTTTGGCAGAAAACTACATGGCCTGCCAAAAAAGGTGGTGTTTCCATGACCCACAGTGAAGCCTGCCATCAAGGTTTTTGGCTGTTGACAGGTGTGGCTGAGGTCCTGACCTTACTCTGGGAACTATTCTTGGTCTCCACTATCACCTATTACTAATTAGGTAGCAAAAATAAAAATGAAGGGGAGAATGGGTGGGAACTACACCCAGGAGAGCTTTCCATAGTACTCTGAGCCCTGGGTATCATAAGCTTTGAAACGCTCTGAAGTAGACATCTTTGCACAGGTGACTGCATTTCACTGACCTCATTTGCTTCAAGTTAGTCTCCCACCCGCCTTCCAGACAGGCCTCGTACACACAGGTCGGCTCTTTCTCCTCCATCAGCCATAGTTATCTGCGTTCCCTCTTGGTCTGTTTCAGCTGAGTATCACTGAACTGTGTTCTTTTGGGTGTTCTCCCTCATAACATCTGGTTTGTCTCATAGAAAAACCCCAGAGCACACCTTCTCTCACAGCCCAGCTCCCCCTTTGGAAGCCCATCTTAGTGTTGACATAAGTACAGTGACCCAATATTCCGGTTTGTTCACCCATTGACTGCTGTTGCCCTGGCATAACTATTAATGATGCTTCCTGCTGCTCGGTCATGTCCCATTTTGGAAGATGAATTACACAGGCCCCACAGCCACAGGAAGTAATCAGGAATCCAGTGTTCAGCTTAATGGTGAAGCCCGAGGACATAGAGCTGTTGATAGAGGGCTTTTGTTAAATTCAGTCAGATGTGCAACAAGCTCACAATTCATATTTTCTTTGAACTTGTCCAGACTTCGCATGGAAGACTACTCAGGTGGGATTCTTTTTGAAGCTTAACCTTCCTACACGGAAATTACAAGCATCTTTCCCAATCAACGATTTTATTTGGACTGTCCTATGGGCTGTATAACCATTCTGGTAGTTAGGCATTTGCTATTTTATTATCTTAAAAAGACAAATTAATTTAATTGCATGTGCTAGAGAAAAGCCACCAGGTAAATTCAATCCAAATAAATAGAATCCTAGAAGAATCCCCAAAAAATAATCCCTAAGCAGATAGGTAAGCAGATATAAACACTCACATCATTTGCCATCTAGATGTTGCATTCTGAGCATTCTTGCTTTTGTTCTGACTTCTGAGAACTGTTTTGCACTTTTTCTGTAGATTTGTAGTTAAGGGAACCAAAGGGTTATTGGGACAAAAGTATTGTTTTTCCATAGTGGCAACAGCTCTTTGCTTAGCTCCTTGATTAAGAGAAAGAACAAAAATTCTGCCCAGGAGATATGGTCAAGGAGTGAGGGCAATAGCTGGGTGTGGAAGAAAACCCTGAAGTTCCTATTGAAGCCATACAGTGTTTTAGGGGGTTATCTTCTAAGACATACTCCAAGATGTGTGAGGAAGTCACTACTTTAAGCCTTTGTGTTACTAAGATCTCATTTATGGTACAATGTGTGCAACACTCATCTAAATCACAATGCCTCAGTAGTTTGCTCCATTATATGTGCACAAATTAATCTTTTATATGTTTAAGGATTTTCTACCATGTATTGAATTATCAGAGTAAAGTATCTATTAGACTTTGTTTGGGTAAATAAATAAAAAAATTCTTCTTAAATAGTGTGGTTTAATATAAAAATATGTAGCAACACTATATCTATATATATAGTCTCTGTATAATTGAGAAATAAAAATCGATTCCACAAGTTATCGCTTTCTTTTCTTTGAGTCAGTGAGAATTTTTCTCAAGCTTCACTTTGCGGCTGCCTTACCTGGATATCATTGTAGGCTGGCACTTGGTACTTGAAGATAGTATAAATTTTGGTATTCTTATTACCCCCAAATTATTCTTTTTATTTTTGCCTTCTATGCCTCAATGACAAGCTCTCAAAATGTGCATTTACCCTCTGGATGAGCTATTTCTCATATTGGAAGTGTCTTCAGGTTTCACGGTTCCTTGATTTTGTCAGCTCCTTTCTCTGTCCCTTGCATTTTTCATGGCATATATTTATTTTACATTAAAATACATTAAGTAACATTTTATTTTTAGCAGTTTTTTAACTTTTACAACCTTCAGGCAAAATCATTTTGGAATCACCCTTGTGTTTTTTTTTAACTAAAAAAACCAATCTGCTTCTGAGAACATTGGAGTAACCAAATGAGAAGTGGCTCTACAGAAAGTGAGACATTGCATGTTCTCATGATCTAGGAATGGGTTCTGGTGAACTCATACTATCCCAATGAAGGGAAGACGGACAAGAGGAGTAATTACAGGCAAAGAAGGGCGTTATACTACAAGGTGGACTGTGACACTCATTCTGCTTCTTTATGTCACTGGGGTAGTGGGAATTGGAGGCAGGCTGAGTGTCCAGCACTAGGAGAAAATATGTGTAAGATGTGGTAGATATGCACGATGGTGTATTACACAGCTCTTAGAAGCGACAAAGTGTGCATTCATATGGGAACACTTAAATCATAGGATAGAGAGGGAAAAGTAAGAAAGAACTCACTATAGCATTTTTGTAGCACTATGCTGTTTTTGTAACTGCTAAGTCTACACACACACAATACTACATATT